CCTTAGCAAAGTATCTCAAGAATGGAAGAAAAAGTATCCAATGTACTCAGCCCTACTATGAAACTAATTTATAGCTTTCATATGAAAGCTATAACCCAATTATAGCCCAAGAATATGGGAAAAGGAGAAAGGGAGGGGAGGGGAGAAGACGGGTAGAGGAAGGATAATTGGTGGGACCACACCTATGGTGTTTCTTACAAGGGTACATGTGAAACTTACTAAATGTAGAATATAAATGTCTTAACACAATAACTAAAAAATGGTATGAAGGCTGTTAACCAGTTTGATGAAAATATTTCAAATTGTATATAAAACCAGCACATTGTACTCCATGACTGCATTAATGTGCACAGGTATGATTTAATTAAAGAAAAAAAAAACCTGCCCTGCTTGAACTTCTGCAAACCAGTGTCCACCCTAACCCAAAACATTTGTCCCAAACTGGTGAAACAGACTTAAGCCTAGTTCCTGTCTCCCATGCTCAGCCATCTTGTAATAAACCTTTCTCTCTACAAAAATTTGATGCTTTGGTGTGTGGCTTTCCATTATGTGTAAAAGAGACCCAGTTCAGTTTGGGAACAGAGGAACAAAATGCTCCCTTAGTCCTCTTTTATAAAAATACTAATCCAATTTACAAGAGCTTCAGCCTTAAGACCTTATCACCTCCAGAAGGCCCCATCTCTTAATACCAACACATTGGGATTAGATTTCAATACACAAATTTTGGACACAAACATTCAGAATGAGACAGTGTACAAAGACAACTCAGGTCTCACTTCCCATCAAGGGAGGTAACGTGGTGCAGCAACAACCCAGGCCAATTAACAATAGAAAAAAAATGACCTCCTATCCACTGGAATTCAGCCCATGCCTATGTAAGAAGGGGGCCCAACCATTTGTCTCTTGAGTAATGTTTTTCAAGATCACTGAAGCAAGATGCTTAATCTAGCTGATAAGGATCCTGTGGCACAGAAACTAGACTTTCCTGGATCTACCACCTCAAGCCAAAAAGGAACCCAAACTGACCTTATCCTGACTTTTCCCTCATTGTAAGATTTAACACACTGAGACATACCACACAAGAATTATGAATACAACTACACAGGTGCAAGAAACCTCCACTTCTATGTGCTTACATGGAACCCTTTTCCTACCTAAGCCTCTTTAAAACTCTCCCAAACTTCTTTCAGAGAATCAGGGCTTACCTTTGTGGGGCCTCCCTTATGTCTGAGAACAAGACCCAGTAAAACCTAGCTTGTGACTGCCTCATTGGTAAATTCTATTGCACAGAGGGTCCAAGGGCCCACACCAGTAACAAGATTATAGAACCTGTTTACTGGTTTATTATAAAGTATATTATTTTAAAGGATACAGGTAAACATCCAGATTATGAAGATTTTAGGCCAAGATCCTAAGGAAAATTATTTCTCTAACCACAATACTTCTGGAAGAATCCCAAGCATAGGAGCTTCTATTCCTGTGAAATTTGGTGTGTGCCACCTTCCAACATGTAAATGAATTCACAACTCTGAAGGTCTCTAAACTCCATCACTTAGGATTTTCATGGAGGTTAATCACATAGGCATGTTGGAATAAATCGTTGACCACTGGTAATGAGAAAGGAAAGAAACACAAATGTGAGCTTCCTCAAAGAAGCATGAGAACAAGACAGCAGTCACACCCCACTAAAACTGCTTGCTATGTGGACGGCTGCCATAAATAGCTATAAATTAACCTAACAATGCTGCACACTGAACACCTTAACTCATACCCTATAGTTCAGCAATGTACAGCCAATAACTAATCAGTCCTGTCTCTCTAAACCAATGAGAATTTCTGACAAACAACTTTGACCTTTTTGCCTCTAAAAACCTGCTTGTAAAAAAGACTGGAGCCAAAGTTATTTATGTTTCCTGGCAGTTGTCCTTATTTTGACCCAAATAAACTGTCCATTTATATTAATTTTGCCTCAGTTTCTTCCTTTAGATCAATAGTAATTAAACCAATCTCCAACCTCCTTCCTTTCCTGGTCAAGATGTGGGGGTTAAAGTTCTAACGTGCTAATCACCTGGCTGGTTCCTCTGACAACCAGTTCCCAAAAGCCACTTATTAGCATAAACACTGTCATAGCAGAAATGGGCTGATTATGAATAAAAGATGCCCTAATCACTCAAGACTTAGAAGGATTTTAGAAGCTTTGTACAGAGAGCACATTTATACTCCACACATATGCAGTACACGTACACACATGTACATACACTTGTGTCACAAGAGGCTTTTAGTATATTCTGTGATGTACAACTGTAACTACTAATTCCAGAACATTTTCACCACTGCAAAAAGAAACTTTATACCTAAGTCACTCTCCATTCTCTCCACCACCACTCCCTCAAAATCACCTATTCTGGACATTCCACAGTCACATGCAACTATACAATATGTGGCACCTGTGTCTGGTTTCTTTCACTTAGCAAGTTCTCAAGGTTCTTTGTGCAATTAAACGGGTAAATTTGATTTGTCTGAAATTTTAACAGATAAAATGACTAAATTTGTCATAATTTTGTCTTCTGACAGACACCTGCTGAAGCCTCTGGGGTGGAATGTGCAATTAAACACATGCAATATTAAACAAAAGAAAGCAAGGTAGGTTTGGCGCCTGTGGCTCAAGTGGCTAAGGCGCCAGCCACATACACCTAAGGTGGCAGGTTCAAATCCAGCCTGGTCCCACCAAACAACAATGATGGCTGCAACCAAAAATAAAAAATAGCCAAGCATTGTGGCAGGCACCTGTGGTCCCAGCTACTTGGGAGGCTGAGGCAGGAGACTCACTTGAGCCCAGGAGTTGGAGGTTGCTGTGAGCTGTGATGCCACAGCACTCTACCCAGGGGGACAGCTTGAGGCTCTGTCTCAAAAAAAGAAAGAAAGAAAGAAAGAAAGGTAATCATTAACTCCATGGACAATACAAAAAATGCAGTAAGGAAAATTAACAAAGTCCATATATACAGAACTCATGTACGTTTTGTCTAGATTACCCTGTGGCTTTAATTACTTTATAATTAAATGCCACTATTTAAAATTCAGGAGATTACACATAAAAGTCTACAATAGTAGACTTTAAAAAAAAATTGCTAGCCCTAGACAAATTGCCGACATCTCTGCGAGACCTTCAGCTGGTGCTACAAATCTGCGGCCTGGAGTTCCAAGTCTCCCACAGCAGCAGCTTGCCCAGCCCCAACATCTGGTTCCCCACCCCTCCAGCCTTGTCTTCCACTGCTCAAGAGCGTTCCTACATGGAACCAGTGGGTATGGAGAACAGTACCTTAAGGTGACCAGACATCCCGCTTTTGGCGGGACAGTCCCAATTTTTAACAATTTGTCCCACGTCCCCCTGCATTTTAAAAAAGTCCCAATTTTTGGAAAGAATGCATGACAAGCTAGGGAACAGCAGGAGAATGGGATGGGAATATATGGTTTTCAGCTACTGAAAAGGTTAATGTAACTTCTTTTGGAAATGAAAAGGCTAATGTAAACTCCCTACTCCCCTCCTGGGCAAGGTATCAGAAGGAGACTGGCTCTCTCCCTTGCTTCTAGGCAAGGACAATTGGCTCAGAAGGAGCCAAACTGTCTGGAACAAACAAGTAGCCTCCCCCTCTCTAGAGTAAGGTGACCAGACCTCAGCTTTTGGCGGGACAGCCCCGATTTTTAACAATTTGTCCTGCGTCCTACAGACAAAAAAAGCCCCAATTTTTGGAAAGAATGCACCATAAGCTAGGGAACGCGGGAGAACAGGAAGGGAATATATGGTTTTCAGCTGCCATGTGGCTATTTCTCCAGGATATGTGTTTTATATTATTTTTGTTAATTTCATAATGTTAAACTTTAATACCAACAAATAATTGTTGAGAACTGATTATCAAGAACTGCTTATCAAAGTCTGCATTGTTGTCAGGCCTTGGCCCCGCCCTCCATGGTGTCGGGCTTTACCAATGTTAAAATCTGGTCACCTTACAGTACCTATCAGAGAGGGTCGGCTCCCGCACTCCATATGAGAATGGAATACTGGCCCAGGGGTACCCAAGCCTTCCAGCCTTTCTTTCCAGGCTGTTTTTTCTAAGTTCCCTACCACCCACCTCTAGTTCCCGGGCCCACCACGCTGCGCAAGCCGTCAGCAAAGATGGCGCCAGGCCAAAAGAGGCGGATGGGGCGGGCTTGGCTTTCAGCTGGGCGGAGCACGAGGAGCCTCGCTTCCGGTGGCGCTCCCAGTGACGTATCGGGAGCGCCGAGCCGCATGGGTCCGAGGACGGTGCGGTCGCGTATGGAGGTCAGTGCTGGTACTCTGGGCGGCTTGGTGCCAGGGGAATAAGGGGCTGCTGGGCGTGGGTCCCGAGCGCACAAAAGCGTAGCTGGAAGGTGGCTGGACAGCGGCAGGTGGGGAACCTGCGGCCATACGAAATGTGGATTTCTAGGTCCTTTAAGTGCGGCCTTCTGACTAAATCGAGATTTTGCAGAACAAATTATTTTATTTAAAAGGGTGCAGCAAAGAAAGATGAAGCTTTTATTTCCTCCTTTGGTGCTTAAAAAAGAAGAATCTTGAAGTCGGAAAGCTTCAGGTTCCCCGTTCCAAGGTTTTCTAGCGCTTCCTTATTGTACTTGGGCTCAGGAAGTGGTAGACGTTACTCTTGGGCAAATCATCCTCCTCCTCCTCCTCTCTACACGTCATTATTTTTCCTTTATGTAGATTTAGACGAAGCTTTTTACAGCTGCAATAATCCACTCATGTAAAAATGTGCCAGCCGTGTACTAAATTCCAGGAAAGGGAGATCAAACGTGCTTTCTGTTTTGGCAGAAGCGAAGCCCGGGTTAAAGTTTTATTTTGCCCTTCTCTGTATGTGTTGCCTAGGTCATTGGATCACCCTACTGAGCTAGACTGGCTGATAAAATTGTCAAAAGCAACATCATAAGGCTGTGTAACAAATTGTTGGAGATGGTAATACTTGGTCTGAGCCTGAAAAGATAAAATGTGTTTTTCTGGGTCCTGATTGGAAGAAGGGTGCACAGGTAGCCCCCCATGCAAGGTGGAATGGAAATAAAAGGCCTGATTAGAATGGGCTTGCGTTATGGGGAGGAAGAAGAGATAAAACTAGAAAGCTTATTCTGGGCCATGTTATAAAGTGCTTTTTATTGTTGGTTCAGGAGGTTTGCTCTAAAAAATTGGGGGAGGTGGTGGTTTGGGGTTTTTTTTAAAGTAGGTTAGTATTGCAGTCTAACTTTGGAAGCTTAACTCCCACATTTGTAGTGTTAATATATATCCACAGAAATCTTGGGGATGTGAACTATATGTCTTGGGCTTTTCAGGATCGTTCTGATTTAAAATATTCTTTTCTTTTGTTTCTGTAAGCCAGTACATTCTTAATCTTGCTTACCCTTGAAATAAAAAAAATTAATCTTGTCTGAGCCCTATCTGCAGAGATTCCCATTCAGGGATCTTGAGCCAGGACCTAGGAACCTGAAGTACTGAGCTACTCCCAAGGTGATTGTAAAGCACAATCAGGACTAAAAACTCCCCAACCCAAGCTATAATGCTTTTGAGTTTTGATATTTGACAGCATTCTGTACTGAATCAAATCTGAGATTTTTGCTTCAGAAAATACTGTCATGTACATGTATATGAGTAGTCAAAAAATGAGAAAGATTAAGGCTGATATTACAGAGAGGGAGGCTATGACTTTATTTCATTTGTCATGTTTTTCTCCTAAGTTTGTGCATTGTGAACTGCCCCTATATGACAACCTTTTCTTCTTTTTCTCTTTAGGGTTTGGAATCACTTGCTAGGAGTCTTATCTCTCTTCTACCCGAGACATCATGGCAGTTCGCCTGGTGAAGCGATGCACATGCCTCTTGAAAGAAGCTGCCCATCTGACCCCTGCTATGGCTCCAGTTTGCCAACTAAGACATGCGAGGGTAGCCCATAAGGCTCTGACTTCTTCAGTCACCTCACCTAGTTCCCACTTCCCAGGTTCCTTGACGGAGATGGTGGAGAAGGAACAAGTGTTTACTCCCTACCCAGAGATTGAGGAGGTGGACCAGCTTATTGAGAAGGCCACCAGGCCAGAGGAGCTCCTGGATCTTCTTGATAGTGGTCACCACATAAACCACAACCGTGCAGTCCTCATAGTCATCCAGCTCTCCCGACTGCTGTCTCGAAAGCCAGAAGACAAGGCTTCACTGATACAGAGTGCCCACTTTCAGAAACTTCTCAAACTAGTCAACAGTGAGGTGGGTGCTAGTGTTGCCTATGGGGTTGGACAAGAAGACACCCAGAGACTTCTGAGTCCATAGCAGCCAGTACTTACCAGCTTTAGATAGGGCCCCTCAGTGTCTTGTGATATTTTTGTTTTTATAGATTCCAGAGTACTTTGACGTGCTTTCTCTCTGTTTATCCTCACAAGAACTTTCTTAGGCAAATATTGCTATCCCTGTCTTATAGGCAGGCATCCAAGACTCACAGCAATAGAAATGTAGGGACTAGGAAGCAAGCCAGATTACTTTCTTTCCTTGGGTGTTTTCCCCCTCACCATACAGTTTTCACTTGTATTGCCCACTCTCACATCTGGCTGTGGCTGGGTACCATTCTTGTAGCTGGAAGAAATGCATCATGACTGATGGGAGGTCCCTGAAACTTGAAATGGGCATGCCATGACCTAGCCATGCTCGGACCCTTTAAGGATGAACAGGGAGAGGGCAACAAGACCCTTGCAACGACACTGGGGGCCAAAACTCAGACTACAGAGGTCAGTTTCTGTTCACTATGAAGAAGGGCTCTTTTCTTTTAGGTTCTTCCCCAGGGCTCCATGTGCAAGGAGTACAGACTCCTGCTCTGACTAAATTGGCCCTAATTCTTTGGTCTACATTGGAAGACAGGTGCTTGGGCAGTGAAACCATATGGCCACTTGTCAGGTGTGATAAAGAGGAAAGGTACTATCCAAGGAAAGGGTTGCAGTAAATGTGTGTTTTTCAAGTTGCCAATTATAAAATTGGTGTAGTAGGACTTGGCTAGCTCTTTTTTAATCAGGTAGGACATACCAGAATCCAAGTGGGGAGAGAAGAGCAAGAGGAATTGAATTAAAAAAGAAGAAAATACCAGAATTCATCACACCTAGTAAGGGGGATACTGTCTAGGAACTTTTAAGTTAAGTGTGTATGTGTACTAGAGTCACATTGTGCTTTTTTTATTTTTTTTGCGATTGTTGGCCAGGGCTGGGTTTGAACCCACCACCTCCAGTATATGGGGCCGGGGCCCTACTCCTTTGAGCCACAGGCGCCACCCTCTGCTTTTTTTTTTTTGAGAATATAGCTCATAAGATGAACTTAATCATGACCCCTCTTATTCTTAGGATATAATCGTATTTGTTGTTTATTGACTCTTCTACTCACACATGATTGAAGCTACTCTTAGGAATACACAACTGACCATTGTAACAAAATTGCAAGGCAGGTATTAATATTTCTAACGTAAATGATAGAAGTATTTTCTTTCTTTTTTTTTTTTTGTGGAGACATAGACTCACTATGTTGCCTTCAGTAGAGTGCCATGGTGTCACAGCTCACAGCAACCTCAAAAGGTTCCCGCCACAATGCCCAACTATTTTTTGTTGTTGTCGTTGTTTAGCAAGCCTGGGCCAGGCTTGAACCCACCAGCCCCAATGCATGTAGCCAGTACCCTAACCACTGAGCAACAGGTGTCGAGCCCAGTGTTTTGTTTTATTTATTTTTGCAACAGCCTCAAACTGTCGCCCTGGGTAGAGTGCCGTAGCATCACAGCTAACAGCAACCTCCAACTCCTGGGCTCAGGCAATTCTTCTGCCTCTGCCTCCCAAGTAGCTGGGATTACAGGCGCCTGCCACAACGCCTAGCTATTTTTTGGTTGCAGCCGTCATTGTTTGGCTGGCCCGGGCTGGATTCGAACCTGCCAGCTCAGTGCATGTGGCTGGCACCTTCCCTGCTTGAGCCACAGGCTGAGCCGTGTTTTTTGTTTTTTTTAATTTTGAGACAGTCTCAGTATGTAACCCTTGGTAGAGTGCTATAGCCACACCTCACAGCAACCTCAAACTCTTGGGCTTAAGCGATTCTCTTGCCTCAGCCTTTTATGTAGCTGGGACTACAGGCACCCGTCACACAGCTCGGCTATTTTTTTTGTTGTTGCAGTTGTCATTGTTTTAGATGGCCCAGTTTGAACCCAGCAGCTTCAGTGTATGTGGCTGGCACCCTACCCACTGAGCTACGGGCACTGCCTCAGCATTTTCTTTTTGTTTTTTTTTAATTTTTTTTTTTTTTTTTTGAGACAGAGCCTCAAGCTATCCCCCTGGGTA